AACAATCACGAACAGTAACTAGTCATGTCACGCAAATAGTCACGATACACTTCGAACAGATACATTACGAATAGATACTTCATAGACTTTACGTATGCATGTATTACTCATTACTATTATCCTTGTCATTTATGACATTTCCAATACAATGAGTAAAGTCCTCCGCTAACTTTTTACTCTTGGTTCCACGAAATCTAGATCCTGGCCATCCTAAACACGTGGTTCATTTCAACATGGTACTATGAGCAAGTAGAGTTACTGGAACAACATCTCTGAATAACGCAATGAACTAGAATGAGTGACACAGTGTGGTTTTGTCCTAAGGATTTGTACTCTCTATAAGCATGCACCTATCTAGCCTATAACATATACAAATATATGTTAACACACCCCCTAGGCTAAACAAAGGGCCATGAATAGCAGAGACACGCAACTCAAGGTGGCACTACTAGTCCAACCTCTGAGGCAAGGTTTGAAGAATAGTCAGTAGGAGTACAAAGAAAAAAGAGTAACTCAAGGAGGCAAAACTAGTCCAGCCACTGGAACAGGAGACACAAGGCCAGTCAAGGCAATATAAGATATAGTACACAAAAAAGGTCCTAGAAGGTGAGAAGCAACAAGAACAAGACCAAGTTGTACACAATGCCGCTGATGATCTTTAGGCGCAAGCACCATAGTCAAGATATCAGCTGTGTTGACACCGGAGGCCAAGTGTACTACACTGGCCTGGAGGCCCTACTATACCTCGCACATGGGGAAGTACCGCAGCTGGATGTGCTTCGCTCTGCCCTCCAATCGAGGCTCTTGACACAGGAGGACCATGGCCCTATTGTCAACGTACAGGACCAGGGCAGAGCTAGGCCGCTCACCTAAGTTTGTGGGCAAGAAAGTAAGCCAGCGGAGGTCTTGTGCCACCATGGTACCAGCGTAGATCTCACCCTCACAGCTTGACTGGGCAACAGACGACGAACAGGTGGACCTCCACAAGATAGCGCCTGCACCAAGGCTAATGCACTAGCCCTGGGAGGACCGGAGCATCTCAGCGTCGTTTGCCCACGAAGCGTCTGTGTGCCCTGTACGGACCACTTGCCTGCGTCCTCCTAGCACTAGTCCCATGCTCGATGTACTTTCTAGATAATGCAAAACCCTCTTAGCAGTCGACAGGTGCTGTAGTTGGTATTGCCTGTGGCCACAAAGCGAGCTAGGATGCTGAGAGGGTATGCGAGATCTGGACGAGTGCAAGTCATCAGGTACATGAGGCAACCCACGAGCTCTGCATACAGATCACTAGGCTCTACAGACTCCTCAAGGACTGGAGCTAAGAGCCTGTGATCTACTGGCAGAGGTGTGGGCTATGAAGACCGAACCTTTGAAGGACCTGGCGCACCAAGTGGGACTCTATAAGAGTGATGGTGTGCGCTGCTATGTCCTTGGAGATCTGCAAGCCAAGGTAGCAACACATCTGTCCTAGGTCAGTGCAGGTGTGTCTCCTGAGGAGCTCAGCCTTCACGGAGGCTAGTGCGTTTCTATCTGCAGTAGGAATGACCAGATCGTCTACGTAGACAAGGATGTAGAACGGGGTCTGGACTGAACGAGTGAAGAGCGAGGGGTCTGCAGATGACGGGAAGAACTGGAGGTCAGCTAATGTAGCAGACAGCGTGTCGTACCACTCACGGGGCGCCTCTCGCAGGAAATAAACCGGGCGCCGGAGGATCCACTCGGTACCAGGGGCGAAGGTGCGGGTGAAGCCTAGCGGGCGGCACAGGTAGACTTGCTCGTGCAGACTGCCCTGGAGAAACGATGTGAAGAAGTCGAGGGAGTGCAGCTCGTAGTAAGGCTGTGCTGCTGCGTCTAGCAGTGCCCAAAGAGTGGTCATCTTTGGGGTTGGGGTGAAGGTCTGAAAGAAGTCAACACCCTCGTGCTGGCTGAAGCCTCCAGCAACGTAGCGCGCCTTGAACATCGGCGGCTCTCCAGGAGGGCGCTTCACCTTGAAGAGCCACCGGCCATCGACTACGTTCACCCCAGATGGTGGAACTTCGTCGGCGTAGGTGCTGGTGGATTTCCAAGATGCCATCGCTGCGTCCATGGCGGCTATCCAATGAGAGGCCCAGGGTCCCGAGGTCGCCTCAGCGTAAGTGTGAGGGGTCGGGATGTCAAGGGCGTCTGGGTTACCCTTAGGAACTAGCAGCATGGAAAGGAGATGGGGAGCGGCCTTGGACACAAAAGCGAGCTGGTACTGTACTGCCTGTCCTCTAGAACGTCATTGCCAAGGGCAGGTGCACCCCCGATGGACGGAGGATGGGCAGGGTCAGAAACCAGAGCGGTGGCTTAGTCAAGGCGGTGGGTAGAGGCAAAGACAGCAACGGCAACGGCAAGAGCGTCAAGACTGGAGACAGGAACAAACGGGTCGGTAACTGGAGAAGCGATAACGCGAGGGACAAGCGGACTAGCGGTACAGAGGAAGTTAGAGAGAGGAGGAGGGGAGACAACAAGTGACGACTGCGGAGGCCATGGTAGAAGGGGAGCACGAGTTGTGTGAGAACAGAGCAACATAGGGTGAGAGCGCTGAACAGGAGAGACAGGACGAGCACGAGAGGCACGGTGAGACCACGAGCGGGAGGGGGGGTCGGGTCAAGAGACAAGGGAGGAGACACAGCAGGAGAACGAGGGGGGAAACGAGCCGTGGACAAGTCCGGAGGAGGAAACACAGGGTCGTAGACAGGCAAGGGAGGCGGCGGCTGGGGAGGCGCAGGTGTGCAGTCGGGGGAAGGAAGAATGAGGAATCGAAGGCGGACATCGGCGACGATTGCTGCTGCTGCTGCTGCTTCTCCACGCCAACACCAGAACCTCTAGCTGCACCACGATTACCTTCAGGACACTCCACGCCAAACACCCTCAGAACGAGAAACCTCTCTAGCACCCGTGCCACCCTCAGGACCGCTAGGACAAGCCACGGCAGTACCCCCAGGATGAGCACCCTCCTCAACGCCTGCACCCCCAGAGCTCTCGAACCTCTGCGGCGGCGGCTGCTGCAGCGGTGGTGGCGACGGCGGTTACTGCTGCGGCGGCGACGGCGGCGGCCGCTACAGCGGCGATAGTGACTGTGGCTGCGGTGGTGGAGGAGGAGCAACCAGGGTAGAGACAAGCGGCAAGCCCGGAGCCGTAGGGCCCCCAGAGTCAGCCGACTCCTCCACCGGGACGACCGACGGAAGGGGAGTGACGGGGAGGGAGAGGAGCAGGGGCTACTGGGGAGTGGGGACCACGAACAGGGGCGGGGAAACCGGGAGACCGCGGTGAGGAAAGCAGGTATCGAAGGAGACAAGACTCGTCAAAAGTGACGTCGTGAGAGTGAAATAAACGGTGAGACGGCGGGTGGTAAAAGTGTTTGTAAGACGCGTTTGGGGGGAAGCCAAGGAAGACTCATGGGACAGTGCGGGCCGTGAGCTTATCCATACCAAAGGCACGAACGTGAGCAAGGCAGCTCCAGAGGTGGAACGCAGACGCGTCATCAGGGGACCCGGTCTAGATAAGGGTCGGCGCAACCTGCGGTCGCTGGGAGTGTGGCCATTCGTTAAGCTGGTGAGCGGCGTAACGAACAGCAAACGGCCACAGAAAATGGGGTGCACCGGCATGGATCATGGAGGTATGAACCAGCCCCATGACCAAATCGATGCATCGCTCAGTGACCCTATTTTGCTGCGGGGAGTCCGACAGGGTGTACGACTGGGTGATGCCCTCCGCACAACAAAAATGGCCAAGCCGACCAGAGGTGAACTTACCGCCACGATCGGAGTGAAGACACAGCACAGGGAGGCCGCAGTGGACTCCGCTCCTGGGACGGGGTGGTGTAATACGTGTAGTCGTCGACGAGCACTAGAAAGTAGCACTCTCGACGCGGCCCAGGGACAGGGGCTGGGCCCCAGAAGTCCAGGTACAGGGTCTAGAGTGGCGCAGAGGTAGGGGAAGCAAGGAGGAGTGAGGGGTATGGCGCAGCCGGCCGTCGAAGCAGGGCGTGCACAGCGGCTCAAGCAAGGGTGGGAGGGCAAGGAGCGACACAAGGAGACCTAAGACAAGACCGTGCTAGGACATGTGATGCAGACTTGGGAGTGCAGGATTAACCTAAGCGGTGGTGTCAAAGCACCGACGGGTGGGTGAGTGATCGAGAGGAGCAAGCCGCAGCGACCTGGGTAGACGTAGGCACCTAGGGGGACGCCCCTACCGGGGGGGACGCGTTGTCAAGTGTAAACAGGCGAGGCACCGGATCTTGGGGAAACATGGTCAGTGGGCACCAGTGGCGGCCTCGGTACAGACCACGTACAGCTCGTGTTTAGGGAACGTAGTGGTGACGCTGAGGTTCTGAAGACAGCCAACACCAACTTGGTTCCTCGAGAACGAGGGGACGTGCAAGCCTGTAAGGGAGCCTGAGGGAACCGACGGACAGGGAAGGTTAGTGGAGCTAGGTGCAACTACCGGACCTGAGGATGGGTCAGCAAGCACTATAGTGGCAGGGGCGGCAAGCGGCGTGAGCGTAGTGTGGTCGCGAAAAGAAGCAGGTGGATGCACCCGAGTCTAGAGTGAAAGAGAGCGCAGTGGTGGCATCCGAAGGTGGAGGAGCTAGAGTGGAGCCAAGGCTAAACAAGGTAGGTGGTCCTACGCTTGACGCAGCAGGGGAACCTAGGCTACACACTGTGGACACACCTACACTATACAACACAGGGTAATAGGGTCCAGTCACACGAGAGTCATCAGCATACATTATATGAATAGAAGACCTAAAGTGATCCATATCCAGCTCTAAGACAGGGACAAGGTGACGCACCAAGCTGTACCAGTCGGGGGGGTCCGACGAGGGGCTGCAGCGCAGACGGGAGAGGTCGTCTAGGAGGCTGTGTGACCGGGACGGTCACAGACGGTGCCGCGGCGGGGGCAGGACTGAAGCTGGTACTGGCAGGTGACCATACTGGAGCCGCCACCTGACATCGAGCTGTGCCCTCCACCACCACTAGCACCGACAGTCCACCACGGGGGCGGGGGTCCCCACAGCGATTGCTGCTGCTGCCGCTGCTGCTACTGAGGTTGCTGCTATTGCTGCTGCTGTTGCTGCTGGTGCTGCTGCTACTGCTGCTGAGGCTGATAATGTTGCTGCTGCACCAGGGCATCAGCCCCGGTCCCTTGTCTGCACCACCATCCCCTCCACCACCGCCGCCACCTTCGCCACCTCCGCCACCCCCACCACCCTTCCCGCCGTCACACCCCGCCCGACGTCCCCTACCCTTATGAGCCTGCGCTGAGGCCGCCGCGGCGGTCTCAGCAGCAGGGGCAGTCTCAGCAACAGTGGCAAAGACGTCAAAGTAAGTGCACTGGGAGGGAGCATATCCCTGGAAGATAGGGACCGCTACAGTACCGCTCGACTGAGCGATAGTGCACTGGTGGGTCTCTATCGCAGTCAGGGCGGTGACAAAGGCAGGAAGGGTGAGGTCACCTGGGTGCTGACTATGGAAGTGGTCGAGGCAGTGGCAAGGCGATCAGAAAGGCATTTGGCAAGGAGGTAAAGGGTAGCGTAGAGGGGAAAAGGGAATGCAGTGAGCTGGGCCTCAGTGTTAGCAGCGCGGTAACTAGACTCAAGTGTGCGCAGATGAGTGGCAAGGTCAGCGACAGTGGGGAAGGACACAAGATTCAAGAACAACATGGGGAGGATTAGACGGTCGGCTGAGGTGGAGGAGGGAGTGGAATAGTGCACGATGATTGCATCTAAGCATTCCTTTGCATTGGCTTCTGCAGTAAAGTGGGGACGCTCAGACAGGGGGAGGGCGTGACTACTCGCAATCTGCGCTACCACGTCGCGTGGCTCCCAGAAAGCGCGGGCAAGTTCAGCAGCGGCAAAGACCTCACGCTCAGCAGACGTGGGAGCATTAAGGAGGGCAGCAGGCGCGGTGGGGCAGGGAAGCTTACCGTCAACAAGGACGTCCAGGGAGTAGCCGTCCTGACGCCGACATGTAAGCTGACGGCGGCGGTCAATGAGCAACGCCTCAACTTCGATCGACTGACCCTCCGCGTCTAGGCAGAGCACAGCGTCCGCCATCACCACGGCCGCATCAGCTGACAACGGCACAGCTGCACGGCGGCCCAGCGGCATGGTGGCACGGCGACACAGCGATACGGCAACACAGAGGCACGGCGACTCGGCGATACAGCGGTACGGCAGCACGGCGGCATGGCAGCACGGCAGCATGGCGGCACGGATACCATCGCAGAATAACGCAATGAACTAAAACGAGTAATACAGGGTGGTTTTGCCCTAAAGAGTTGTTCTCTCTAAAAGCATGCACCTATCTAGCCTATAACATATACAAATATATGTTGACACAACATCACCGTGGCCAACAATCAGACAATCGAAGCAACTGCAATCGGAGATGTAATACTAGAATCAGACAACACAGAAGTTTTACAAGTGCAGCTGATGGAAATTGGCATCTGTTTCGTCAGCACCGCCTGTTGAAGTATACTCTACAGAGTTAAGTTATGCATTCCCGATATAACACTTATACTGTACTAGTGTCGCGATACCTCATATGGAAGGACGCGCGTGATGACGTCAGCAATAGCGAGTCAACGCGTAAACAGTAGGTTCTTGCGTATAGTCACCCGAAGGGTCACGCCACTCTCAGTCACATGAACAGTCACTAGTCATGTTACGTGAATAGTCGCGATACACTACGAATAGGTACATCCGAATAGGTACTTCCTAGACTATAAATATGCATGTATCACTCGTTATTATTATCCTTGTCATTTCGGGCATTTCCAATACAAGGTGTAAATACTTCCGCTGACTTTTTCTCGTGGTTCCACCAACGCTAGATCGTGGCCACCCTAAACAAGTGGTTCACTTCTACATGGTATTATGAGCTGGTGGAGTTATAGGAAGCGATACAAGCTGATTTCGATTATGCCCTTAAACTTAAGTTATAGATCTATAATTATGTCAGCTGCTAAGACAGGAAATTCAACTACGAATTCTCCTACTTTTGGACCTTCTACAGTCCGTTATCCAGAGGCAAGGTTGACCAAAGATTAGGCGCGTTATTACAAGTATTTGCTTATGGCCTATACACTACTAGTGCGTAATCTCTCACCCGAAGAGTAGTTGGGAGTTCGGCGCTTCAAGCCTTCACTTGCTCTAGCCTTCTACACATGGGAATATCTGCGAAGGTTTCATCAAGCACAAGATTTAGTTTCACAGAGCAAGCTATTATGTCAACTTACAGCAATTTCGGGAGAAAAAACCGGCAGCTACATCAACAGGTGCATAAATCTTCGGGACCAGCTTCGGGACCAGCTTGCGCTACTCTGATGGTAGAGCAGCAGGACTTGGACCTGTACAACATGAAAGGAGGCAAAACCAAGAGTGGGTTAAGCTTCTATACAGGTGGACCAAGTCAAGGGGAGCAGACAAGAGGTGCATAAAATCAATCGGAGCAGACAAGAAATGGTGGAAAGGGATTATGCAAGTTCTGCAAACGAGCACGTCATTATATTGAAGAGTGTCAGAAACTTAAGAACGGGAATCGGGTGAAGTCGGGTGAAGCCGCCCCTGTCAAGACTATCTTGCCGCATTCAGCTTCTTCAACTCAACGTGAAAAAGGCAAAGCAATGATTAATTGCACGATTGGACCACATTGGTCTAGTGGTATACGCTACTAGAGTCGACGAGACAATGAAGACAACGACATTGACATGGAAGAAGTAGTAGCCAACCTACCTCCACGTCTTCACTCTCGTTAAGAAACTCCAAAACTAGTAGCCGTTGGTGAAGAAGAACCAAAGCGTACGGGTTTTCTTGATGGTTAAACGTGCAGCCATACGCCCACATCGCCAAGCATATGTATCCCGAGCATGTTAGCACTAGCATGACAACTATAATGAAGGAAAAATTGTCCTGATGTTTTGCATTAACTAGGGTTTTTTTGCTTTTCGACCACTGTACATCAAGTCTTAATGTTTAATGGTGGTACGCTTTAGGAGGGGCACATACTGGATATGGTCACAGTGCTATTATCCATAATAGTACACTGGATCTAACTTAGTGCCAAAAGATATACAAAGAGTACATTCAGACAATTGTTTCCCAAGACAAATAGCAAACTTCCTAATAGCGTTTCTAGTACCTAGTCCACCGACTCTTGGCCTTGATCACCACCCGCACCCTCCTAGGCATGTAATCTACGTAGTTAGTGCAAACCTTTGCAAAGATCTTCTCGCACTCTTCTTGGACCCACCCTTTCGCATAAGGGCGTGAGCACTAGGAAAAACGCGAACGATTTGAGCGTATGCAAGAGTATTGTACACGATTTCTAATTGAATGTGATCTCTTAGACTAACGACGTTGAGGTGTAACCAAAGATGCCATTAGCCGATTGGTCCCGTCTTTTCATGGGTCGTCTTCGTCATACCGTCATAGGGTAAAAGTACGAACATAATGGCAAAAAATAGCGTATCCGCCACGAAAATTAGGGTAACATAACACGGTCGACTGTGCACCCTTTCACTATTCGAGTCAAGTTAAGATCCACGGATCTCGTGACGATGCAGAAGTCGAAGAAGCCCCGACTGGTGGGGAAGAATATCCAGGTTGAGGTCTAGTGAGGAAGAGGGTCACTCGAGTGCTGCATACTCATGCTCTCCAAGCCATTCCAAGCCGAAGCATGCCAAATGGCCTGGAATGGCTTGGAGAGCATGAGTAAATTGCGCAGGAGTGACCCTTTTGCCTCACCAGACCTCACCTCAAGCATCCTTCTCGAACATTCGTGACTTCTTCGACTGCTGCATCGTGACGAGACCTGCAGATCCTAGCGTGATTCTAATAGTGCAAGGGTGTACAATCGACCGTGCTACGTTACCCTCAGTTTCACGGCGTATATGCTAGTTTTCGCCGCTCTGTTCGTGGTTTTACCCTACAGCAGTACGACGGAGACGACCCATGGAAAGACGGGACCAAGCAGCTATTGACATCTTTGGTCACACTTCAGCGTGACTAGTCTAAGAGATCATATTCAATCAGAAATCATGCACAATACTTTCGCATACGCTCAAATCCTTCGCGATTTTCCTAGTGCTCTCACCCCCATATATAAAAGGGTGGGTCCAAGAAGAGTGCGAGAAGATCCCTACAAAGGTTTACACTAACCTCGTAGATTACATGCCTAGGAGGGTGCGGGTGCTGATCAAGGCCAAGGGTCGGTGGGCTAGGTACTAGAAACGTTGTTCGGAAGTTTGCTCTTTGTCCTGGGAAACAATTGTCCGGATGAAGTCTTTGTATATCTTTTGGCACTAAGTTAGATCCAGTGTACTATTAAGGATAATAGCGCTGTGAACATATCCACTTTGTGCCCCTCCCAAAGCGTACCACCATTAAAGATTAAGACTTTATGTACAGTGGTTGGAAAGCAAAAAAACCCTAGTTAATGCAAAACATGCGGACAATTATTTCCGTCACCGTACTGCGGTCACCACATGGCTTCTTCAAGGCGCTATCTTCTCAACTGGCGAGACCTGCCAAAAGAAGAAAAGTACAACATGATGGTGGCCAACAATCAATTTATTGAAGCCACGAGAGTTGGAGATGTGATACTAGAGTCCGACGACACAAAAGTTTCACTTCACCTTAACAAGGTTCTCATCTCCTTAGGGCTCGGCTTCAACCTACTATCACAAGTGCAGTTGATGGAAAGCGGCATCTTTTTCGTTAGCACTGTCAACACGATGCTCACGGAGTTGTACCTGGGCGACAAGAAGGAAGACAAAAGTGATTTAGTCGGCATCGCAGTAATTACAGACGGCGTTTCCATTTTACGGTTTTCACCAGTGAAGGCATCTAGTGATAGTGAGAAGGATGTCTCACGCGCCCCTTGGCATTATCATTGGGAAACGGATCTTCAATGCCAAGACCATTGTGGTCTCAATGTCTTATGCATCATGCCTCAGCCTTCTCGCACCAACTCCCTCGACGAACCTGCAGCACAGCCAACAGAAGCAGCATCAGCAGCAGAAGAAACAATTCAAAGTACATGGGCATCTGGAGATGGAAACTGGGGTTACGAAAATCAAGAACTAACATATGCTACAGTCGAAGAACCTATGGGGGTTGAATGCACATGGGGCAAGAAAGAATCGTACCTAATGCTTGGGCGCGTCGCCGACACCTCGGCATACCTTGGGTTGAAACTGTAGAAGAAGCTGGGTTCATCCAGCCTTTCGGCACCGGCCGCTGCGTCAACTCTGCGCCAACGATTCATCTTTCACCGGCCTTCTTCCTTCACTCCAACTTGTACCTGCGTTCAAAGGGACATAGGACTACAGCAGAAATCTGGCACAAGCGGTTAGGTGATCCTCGCAAGAAGCTCTTAACAACTCAATTAAAGCCTCGGTTTTTGACAAGGACGCACTCCTTTTAACCAACAGCCAAGAGCTTCGCCTAGCAGTCATCAACTATCCTGTACCATCTGCCTCGGAGCTCACCTAAGTCACGCTCCGTTCCCGTCGCACTTTCCAAATGCTACTAAGTACTCACTTATGGATGTCGTTTTCAGCGACATACTCTTGGATAATTATGGATTACGAACTGCCAGCCGCCACCTTCCACTTCGCCAAGTGGACGTAAAAAATGTGTTTTTTACGCAGACGTCGATGCAGATATTTTCGTCGAACTGCCTCACACTTACGGTGACGGACTCCACATCTGCAAGTTACATAAGTCACTCTACGGCATCAAACAAGCTCCTCGCCTGTAGAAGCAACATCTTCACAAAGTGCTGATTTCACTCGACTTCATGCAGCTGCCCCACGATCCTGGAATGTACAAACTCGAATTTTGGAGGAATTACATTCTCCTAGTCGCCTACGTAGACGAATTACTGTACACCGGCTCTTGCAACAGACGTGTGGCGCGCATAGAGAAAATAATCCAAACGATTATTGAAGTGACTATTTCTCCAAACGTCACCCAATTTCTTGGGTTAAACGTCGACTGCGGCCCCGATGCCATCTCAATTTCTGCAGGCAAGTACGCAAAAACACTTGCGAAATAGTTCGCCATCGCTCCTATCGGCCTCACCATTCCATTTCGTCATATTTCGGCCGATCACACACTTGATATTACCCCACTTACCGCCTCAGAGCATCAGCTTTAGCAGTAGCAACTTGGGTGTCGTCTATTTGCGGCAGTTACATGCCGTCCCGATCTTGCCTACATCAC